CACCCAACCTTTTATTTTGTGTATTTTGAAGGTGTTATGTGAATCCCTCCTTTGTACGCACAGCACAACTCCACTGTAATTATATCGAGGATGGTTTCGAGACATGATAGACAATAGTGTTACAGCATACAATGTATCATGTCCTTGTCTGCATCATAGTACGCCATCATAATACATGATTGAATTGGTTGAGATATAAATAATAGTGAGCAAATAAACTTAAAAGAAATTAAAAATATTTGTTATAGGATTTACATTTTACACTAATGATAAATGACAAATTAAATTATATTCTTGATACATTTAAATGAGATTGTTCTTCCTATCAATAATTTTGACAATAATCATAATAATTTTATTAAGTTAATCGAATGAATAAGATCTATTAAAAACCCTATACCCACGTCTAAATATTTAGTAACAGAAATTAAAAGTATCTTTCCTTTTTGTCAATATCTTATATATTTTCATTCCTAGATTAGTTTTGTTTCCTATTACAGCCAACTGCATGTGTATTATATATTCCACTATTTATTGAATCACAAAATTAATGAAAATTGCTTCATTCATATGAAATTTAACATGGTATCAGAGCGTTAGGTTTCGAAAATCCATACCCCAGCCTTTGCCATGGCCAAACCTGTCTTGGATGCCAACAAATCTCTTATAGATGCTTCTTCCTCTAATTACCTGCACACATTCGATCAACCAAACCAACACCTTGTTGAGAATCTTCTAAATGGAGCCTGCCTGGCGTTGATCAATAACACACGCCTTGAATGCTAAAAATAAACTAGGATTTGTCCTTGGTACCATCAAATGCCCAACCACTGACACAGCTGCTGCACTTCTTTGGGATCGATGTTGCGACATGATAATGTTGTGGTTACTTCATTCTATTGATCGATCTCTCATCGGAAGCCTCCTTTATTGTGAAACACCTAATAACCTATGGGTTGAATTGGAAACCAAATTTCAGCAAAGCAACAAGACGAAAATTTTTAGCCTCCAATGTGACCTTGCCAATCTTCACCAAGAACACCAATCAATCACTAACTACTATGGAAAATTGAAAGAGCTATGTGATGAATTAGCCTCTTTGCAAGACTACAACCAACTGTTTCATGTACCAGTGGAGCATCCAAATGCTTATCTAAAGCACAAGAATCCGATTGTGTCTTTAAATTTCTCATGGGTCTAAATGACAGTTTTCAGTAGCTTTGTTCACAAATTTTAAGTATGGACCCGCTTCCATCGATCGAGCGGTGTTATGCTATCTTATATCAAGAAGAAACATAGCGGCTAGTTCAACTACCCGCCTCTCAATCGAAAATCTCAGCACTCCTAGCTCACTCGTCGCAACAGGAGACCTCCCGTCCACTCCGTGTTCAGCCAACCGGACCTCTTCTATGTAAAGAATGTGGTAAATCGGGCCATACCCATAACAAATGTTTTGAAGTCTTGCGATATCCAGATTGGAAGCCATCCAAGAGTAAACGAAACATGGCTCGAACACTTTTTCCGACAGTGCATCAGGTCACGGCCAATCAAAGCTCCTCCACCAAGAGTGTAGCCCCAAGTCTCTCCATCGAGCAATACAATCAATTATTGGAACTATTAAAACCTCCTCCCATGGCATTCACAGGTACCTCCAGTGAAGACCCAATTTTATCCCTGAATTCCTCCCCTAATTTTTCCCCAAATATAGCTCCATGGGTAATAGACAATGGGGGCAACAAACCATATTACCACTTGCCCCCTCTCTAATTCAAAATCTTCCAATTGCCTCCCTTTTGTTTCTTTACCTACAATTACACATGTTCCCATATCGTTTATAGGTGATTTATCTTTATCTCCTCGTTTAACTCTCTCTGATGTTTTATCTGTTCCCGATTTTCAATTTAATTTATTATCTGTCAACCAATTAACGAAATCTCTTAATTGTGTTGTGTCTTTTTTCCTACTTTTTGTATTTTTCAGGACCTAGCCACGAAGATGCTGATTAGCGTAGGTGAAGAGCGTAACAGATTATACTATTTCAAGCATGCTGCACCAAATGTTCTCCAATCCTCCAGTCATATCTTGTTCAATAATGACATCAACGTTTGGGTCGCCCTTCTTTACATAATATTCTTCAATTTATTTCACGTCCGCACGTTATTGATCATTGTGATTCTTGTAGTCGTGGCAAACATACTCGTTTACCTTTTAAATTAGTTGCTAATAAAAGCTTGTTGCCTTTTGACCGCATATTTTGTGATATTTAGGGTGGTTATCATACCACTTCTTTGTCTGGCGCTCATT